ATTTTTTTGAAATAGTGAGATCAGCATGCATTTCTCCTGGATGAAAAGAAACGTGCAAGCCAACGTGGACAGAATAACGAAAGAGAATTACTTTCCCTTAGGACAGCTTCACATCACACCGGACGAAGGAATTTTCGCTCCAACTTCTGTCCACTATTTCACCGTGACGGTAGAATACAAAGATCTAAGACCGAATTACTATTTTGCTATTTTGCAGTGAGTTTAAGTAAAAAAAGAAAAAAAAAAAAGTAAAATATTGTCAAAGACAATAATGTTAATTTGGAGTTGTTATACATATACTGTACAATTAATATGTTCGACGTTGATCGAATTATGATAGATTATACGTGGAAGACATACCGGTTGACGCGATACCAAAAAATTCTGGTCTAGAAACAAGAGTGTGCACCACGAAACGACGAAAATGCTCTGCTGTAAAATCATTTTATTCTCTTCGTTAATATAACAATTAATTTATCAGGCAGGAGTTAGAATCTCTTTTTAAAAGAATATTTCGCCGTCAGTCTGCAGACATTTGGATCGCCGATGTAGAAGTTTGGTTGCAATACATGATGGAGGAGGAAAGTAGAACGTGCGTTGGTTTTAACGTTCGATTAATTTACATTTTAGAGATTTCAATCACTCGTGCGATTGCACTACATGTTGCAAGATAATTGTTTATATTTATTTCTCTCATCAGAATGAATCACCATTCCTCCGTAAAAATTGCTTATAATTTATTAAAAATTATATTTCAATCGAGATCAGTGATCGAACAACGGAAGAGATGTTGAAACGTATCTTGGAAATACCGCCCCACATCCGATATCTTCAATTAAGTTACGAAGAAGAAAGAGGAGGAGAAAAAGAAGAAGAGGAAGAAGTAGCAGAAGAATTGGAAGTTAAAGAAGAACATAGATCAACGTGTCAACTAGTAAGGACTAACTTTATAAACTTTCATTTTTGTTATCATTTTCTTGATCCTTTTATGAGATTAATCTGTACATTGTAGGTAGCAGATGAATTATTCTATCATCATGATCTGATGAACTTAAGGCAATTCGATCTGTTATGGCAAGAGCAAGTAATAAGCATGGGCGTCATTAGACCCACGAGGCTTGTAATTTATTTACAAATAATAACTCGTGCTGCTTAAAAAATTTCGTGGTTTTTATTGAGATTCTTGTGACAGGACTCTGTACACCGGCGTTGAAGAAACATATGTTTTGATGTTAAAGAATCTCGCTAATGGCTCTGTGAATTATTCATGGGGTGAAACTAATGGTTTAGATTCCTCGAAGATGAAACTTTGCGTATGCCCAATGAAAGGAGAAGTAATGGCTGGAAACAGCCAAAAGATTGAGATAACCATCACACCGATAACAGAGGTTAAATATTGGCCCGACTCAAATATCAAATTTCAGAAAGGAAATATTCGATTTATGATATTATTTACTTGTCAATCTCTAGGGGATCGTGGAATCGTTATTTATACCATGTTTTGTGGGAGATTCGCGAAAAATGTTAATGCTGGGCATCGAATGTTCTATTGAACCACTTTATGTAACATTCTATTTTCCACTAAACGACGATACGCCATTAGAGTTCAAGAATAATTTCGTTAAAGTCGAGTGGCGAGTAGATAGTCTTCAATTCGCTTTGGATATGGCAGGAAGATCTAAGAAATACATGGTACATTTAATTAACAATGAAGCAAATAAGTGTAAAATCTCATTCCTCTCTTATCTTTTCATTTTCAATCATCATTTTTTAATCTAAAATTTCAAATTTTTGACACTAAACATTCAAGTTTTAATTTTTCAGTCAAACATTAAGAACCTTTTAAAACAAAAATTTCGATCTCCAAATTTTCAACCAACTAAAAAGACAATTGATTTATTGTTATTGCATCTCATTTGCTAAAGAAACGGGGATTGTGTAAATTATTTCCTGGCAATGTTATACTATTACTTTAGATGTACGTTATTCAAATGAACGACATTCAATCTTAATATACAACTATAGAAATTATTGAACAAGTACAAAAAACGGGAGGAACGAGAATTAATGAACACAAACTTGGATCAAGGGGATGTTCTTAAAGATGCTTCAGCAGGCCCATCGATACAAGAAATGGCGGTTGAAGAATCGGGCGAGCAATTCTTCCCAAATACTTGTACTTCAGAGATAATTCAAGTAAAGAAAATTTTTATCAGTTTTCTCTTTCAATTCGTGACTTCATTTTTATCAAACAACAAACATTACTATCGTAATTGTATAATCTGAATCTATACATCTGAAGGAATAATTATAGATGAGTAATGTAATGGAAAGTAACAACTGTTTGCAAGATATGGTTTCCTCTGGAAGTGTCCTCGTACCATTTTATGAAAAATTCCTACCACTGGTTACGCAATCTGTTGTAATAGAATTTTCAAATGTATCCTTAAGAACAGGTATTTCGATCAACGAAGATATATTTCTTAAAATGATAAATATTTGTGTAGTTAATAATTATGATCTTTAGTACAAAAGAAAACTTTTATTATAAAAAACGAGACTTTGATTCCAACTTATTTTTGGCTTCGCATAAAGAATTTTTATCCTATCACGTGTTCGTGTGAATGGAAGTCGCAAGAAGATCAGATCAAATTCATTTATAAACGAATTTTCAATCGACAGAAACGATTGATAGGTGGGATACTATTTACTCATAGAACCATTAGATTTTATATACAGGTATTGTTATCTTTGAAGTATCTTTTCTATTTACAGAAGATACACTGCATAGAGTAAAACAACCTGGATCAGGCATAGTAATTTATGTTGATCCCTTGAACTCAGATATTGGCCCTTTTAAAGCCATACCTGTAGATATTTATATTTTTGCCGATACATGGGGTATCTATGTGGATGAATTAGAAATAAACATTACTGGTCTACCACAATATACTATAGGGATATGTGTGCAAGTTGTTGGATCACCAATTTCATTATCAATTTCTGACACGAATAAATTTAATGTACCTGTTATCAGGTATATTCAAAATGTTTTTTGTTTTAAAAAATTCCAATTTAACAGTCTACAAAATTGTATTTGTAGGTATGGAACGGTATCTACAGGTATTCATCTGCAGGAGAGAAAAATATTGCTGACAAATACAAGTACAGTGCCTATAATCATTGATTGGCATACATTTATAGTAAAACCAGTTTTAGAATCAATGCCTTTTAACATAGCATTTAACTTTCATACTCCATTTACTGATGAACTGGCATTGAAAATGAGAACTAATAAACAAAAGGCTGATAGCGAAATACATTTAGAAGAACATTTTTTATCCTCAAGAGGCACACATGCATGTAATTCTATTGAATTTAGTGCCATTAGTGACATTACAACGTCTAGTTACATGTAAATGATTTAAATTACAGAATATTATAGTTATTGAAGGCACACAATTACATTTTCTAAACTATTTTAGGGAATCTTCACATATGACCACATCCTGGATGCACAATAGTGAAACTTCAAATCAGTATACTACCAGAAGCTTTAATGAATGTTCAAAAAATGATCACAAATATATAGAAAATAAAATATGTTCGCATACAAGTAATATAGAAGAAAAAAGATACATCGAATTACAAATTTCAATACTTCCATACTATGGTTTAATCGATTCAAAAATATGCACAGTAAGGAAATAGACTCCATTAAACTATTAAGTACAATATCTTAAATGAATAATAAAAAAAGACACCTAGATATTTTTCTCAAGGTTACTCCTACGGAAATGTTTATTCCGCCTAAAAGCAATGCCTCTCTTTTTATTGATATACAACTTGAAAAGTACAAGACTATGATAAATAAAAGTATTGAAGGAGAATTTGTTTGTAAAATTCTTGGATTTATACGAATTGCTCCAAGTGATATGTTTGTATAATTAAGTTAAATTGTACTTCCAAATAGCACTAATGGCTGATCGAATTGAAACTTATAGGGGAGAGAAAGGTTGGAGAGTGAAATCTAAATATAAAATTTTAACTTCGATGCTGACTAATATCACTATTGTCTCATTTACTATTCAATAGTTGATGACAATTACTAATAAGCAAAAGACCGCTGATAATTCATGTCTATACAGGCAGCATTCGATGTATTGTATCAAAAGTACTTTATTAATATCATGGAAACTAATAAATCATTAAATTATTTACAGTCCACTTCTCTTTCCGCTTCCACTGCTCTAAATTTCAATCCCATCAGTATCATTTGGAAGTATATCTCTCTTATAATTGTAAATATATAAATTAATTTAAACTATGTATAATGAATTACAGGTACAAAGATAATTATTATGCGAGGCAGAGTGGTAATTATTTTTCCCCTATAGAAATTGATGTTACTGCAAATATTACAAAACCTCATCTAGATTTTCATATTTCTAAATTTGATAAAACATTTGTATGTTGTGCTAGTAAAGTAATGCAAACTCAGAGGAAAAGACTAGAGTATGTAAAGTTGCAAAATACAAATTCTTTCAATTCAAATACTTCTTTATTTAACCTATTCTTTTCAGGCTAACCAAAACATTATTCCTATATAACACTAACAACCAATCAATAAAGATAACATTAGAAACATATGAACCATTTCATATTAAATCTATATCAGTTTATACGGAAACAGACCTGTATAACTCTGGAATTATATGCATAAATCCAAATGGATGTGTTGAGGTAATTTATCTTTTTCTGTATCTTCTGTATAAGAATACAAATTTTAGATAATGTTTCTTTTACAGGTAGAAATAGCATGTGTTGTAAAAGAGAAATTAATTCAAACTATAATGAATACAAGTTCAAGTCGAAACTTGAATGATACAAAGATCATAGTGAAAGAGTTATTACATATTGTACATTCTGATAAACATCATCAAGTAAATAGTTTCTCTATTCTTTGTTGCTTGAATCAATATAGTTAATCCTTATATTTATATAATTTCAGAACATAGAGTTAATTTTGGAAATATGGTTGCCAATATTAAAATTATCATCATATACATTGGATTTTGGTGTTGTATATATAGGTGATACGAAGAAACTAACATTAACTATCAAAAACTTATCAAGTACAATCGCAATTGTTACTTTCTTTAGTAATTACATAATTATAGTAGGATTAAGTTTTATTGATCGATATCAGTATGCAGGTTAACCTGTAGAATAAATAAAAAGACCAACGTTGAGGAATTTATGATTGATAAAGAACATGGCACACTGTCAAGTCATTGTAACCATGAAGACTGGTACTTCACAGTTACAATATCTTTTCAACCAAGGTAATGTAATTGATCACAAATGTTTTATCGTCGACTATGCTAATCGTTATATATATAATAATTACTGTATTTATAGAAAACCGGAGCAATTAGTTGAAACATTAGAAATACTAACAGGTGTCCCATACATTACAGAAGAATGTCAACTTTATGGGGAAGGAACATTAGATGAAAAATATCATACTCCAGGCATATAAAAGAGCAAATAACGACATGTCTACTTGAAAATTGTAAAATCCATTGAGGCAAAATAAAAGAAAATTTACAAAAACGAACTAAAATGCGATATAGCATTATTAACAAGAATGGTGCTCTATTGAATGGCAATAAATGCGGAAAATAGAATATAAATGTTCATACCAACAATACAATTCCAGGACGTTACATAAAGCGTAATACAACAGCAAAATCGAGACGTTTAAAACTGAAAACATACTAAAACAAAAAAAAAAAAAAAGAACACTCGAAGATTTCTATTCTTCTCTGGAAACGACCATTTTCATTATTTCGACTGAACATTTAGTTTTTTTATATTTACTTGGCAGATTCGATTAGCACGATGCAAGTTAAATTCATTCACAAGAAAAAAAAAAGAAAAAGAAAAACATGTAAAAAAACGTACGAACACTACGAACGTATAACTTCGTATTAGGATGATCTTGGTTCATCGACAACATACTTCAGTCTTTAATAATTACATTACTGGAATTGATAATTAAAAGCAATAAAAAGGAATTTTTCGCTCTCATGAGCGTGGGCCTTTCTGTCGATGATGTTAACATGTCCATTCTCTTGCATATATGCATATATATACATATATATATACACATACATATACTCTTGGAATTTTTGATGACTTCGCCGGAGTTCCTTCGCGATAGCGCCACCTGGTGAGCTGAGCGCCAATCATCAAAGATTTTCTCCGGTCACGTGATCGGCCTAGCCAATCGGAGAACTTTGCGGGCCCTATACGTGGCATAAGGCATGAATCCTTTCCACGTCCGCCATTTTGACATACGGTACTTTTCGAGAGTGTTGGTTTTATGTTTTATCGTTTCTCGTGAAAGTAATCTTTTTTACCGAAACGTAAGTAACGCAAGTGACTTATACCGGAAACGCGGCATCACGGGCAAGTCTCAATAATCAGACGACGTTTCCGAATAATGGAACATTGAGCGAGGGACCTTTGACGATTTGCGTTGGGGAGTAGGTCGAAGGTGACAGACAACCGGGTGATACGCAGTGGCTTCACAAACCGCACAATATCCTTCGCCTTTGTCGCAATACCTCGGTATTGGCGTTCTAGGTAGCAGATCACGATTTTAAAAAAAAAAGGAAGCAAGAGATTGTGAATTCAGCGACGCTCTGAGAGTGATCCTTAACGGTACGCCAGCTCCCATACTCGTAGCGATGTATTAAAATGAGAATCAATAAGCGAGCAGCATGAGCATCTCGTGTGTGTTGTCCCTACACAGAGTTTCTTTTTCTCGTTTTTTTTCCCTCCCCATTTTTCTCCTCGGTTCGGTTTAATTCAAGTCTCTGTTTCACAATGCTCGAGATGTTCGTTTATCGCCGTCGGTGTATTCGCCTGTAAATGTGCAGGTTAGCTTTCTGGCCCTTTTGTATCGGACTACCGTTTCGTTTTTTCCGTCCCCGTCGCTTCCGTCTCTCAGTGCGTGGTTTCGCGTTTTCTCCGCCGTTCACGAAACCTTTGTCTTTTATCCGCTCGTTACAAGCCCTCTCATTATTTACCGATCGATTTCAGTTTTTGTGAAAGTTATTCGTTTTGAAAAAATTTCGAAAGAATATATATATATATATGTATGTATGTATGTATGTATGTATGTATGTATATATGTATATATATTATTACACTCTGATTGTATGTTTGTTTTTATGTCGGGCATTACATCTCTTCTTACGACTAATTTTAAATATCAAATTCTTAATAATCGTGTTTTGATAATTTCATGTTCTTTCTTTTTTTTTGTAAATGATGCTCTTATCCGTGTTGATAAAATTTTTTTTTCATTATTTATTTGTTGCTTGTTTATGCACGTCTTTGAACGTACAAATATATTTTGTATGCATGAAAGCATTAGCATTATGTACAACAAACTTGGTTTTATTTTGTAAAAGAATGAAATATTATGATATATATAATTGAATCATTAATATAATTCAATACTGTGTAACATGTGTTATATAAAATTTTAGTTTAATTTCACTCTAGTTCTTTATCATTATCTTTATTTTGTTTGATTTAATTTTGCATTCAATGTGTATTTATGATGATATAAATTTATCGGTTTGTTATTCTAGATATTTACATAATCAACGTCAATCATGGGGAATATGTTCGCAACATTATTCAAAGGCCTTTTTGGCAAAAAAGAAATGAGGATTTTAATGGTAGGCCTTGATGCAGCAGGTAAAACCACGATATTATACAAATTAAAATTAGGGGAAATTGTTACCACAATTCCCACTATAGGTAAATATGAACATTTCTTTCTATGTAAATACCACAAATATGTTATAAAAGTGTTATGCATTGAACTGTTTACTAACTAACTATTGTAAATTTTAGGTTTCAATGTAGAAACAGTTGAATACAAGAATATAAGTTTTACTGTATGGGACGTAGGTGGTCAAGACAAAATCAGACCTCTCTGGCGACATTACTTTCAAAATACACAAGTATGTGATTCATTTGCTAAATTATTTTCCTTGATATCAATTAAATTTTATTTCTTTGTATAAACTAATATGATTATTATCTATATAAATAGAATAGTTTGTTTTATATTTTGACATCAACACATACATTGCCTCTGATAAAGCTATTTTCATAGATTAAATTTATTTTCAGGGACTAATATTCGTCGTTGACAGTAATGATAGGGAACGTATCGGTGAAGCGCGTGAAGAATTAATGAGAATGTTGGCAGAAGATGAACTTAGAGATGCAGTACTTCTTATATTTGCTAACAAACAAGTGAGTATATTTTGTGAATTACTAATATGCTTTGATGCGTGTTATATGAGAGTAGAGTATTTTGACACGATATAATATTCGTTATACAAACATTACATATTGCCTATATTAAATGCGTAAATGAAATTGAAAAATGATAAATTAAATAAACACGTATTTAAGATCGTACTTATTAAATAATTAATACTCTAGGATCTCCCAAATGCAATGAACGCGGCAGAAATTACCGACAAATTGGGGCTGCACTCTCTTCGTAATCGTAATTGGTACATACAAGCAACGTGTGCCACAAGTGGAGACGGACTTTACGAGGGCCTCGATTGGCTCTCTAATCAGCTCAAAAATGCCAATCGCTAATTGGAACGTTATTCTGTCAACATTCAGTTGCTATATTAACATCATAAAAAAATCAGTTGCACACCTGTCCCCCCACGAATGAATAATAATATAAACAGAGGTAATACTGAGTGCAAACCACGAGATCCATTTGATCTCGAAGTGGAGGGTGGAGATAGTCGAAAGTTGTCATTGTGCCAGGAAGTTTTTTGGGGGGAGGGGAGTGGGGAAATCGGCCGGAAGCACACATTCGAATGGCCACACAAGACTATTGCCTTGTGCAACTTATTATTATAATTATTATTATATTAGCATTATAGTTACACTTTTTACACAGAGATACCACAAGAAAAGTGGAAAACTTGGAAGTACATAATTGTATTAAAGTACCTAACTCTGAAACATACAA